GTCATAAACCACATCATCCAACGTCTTTGTTTAGATAGGTGTCCAAATCAATATGTAAAAGATTATCAGTAAATTCTAGCAATAACGCAATTTTCAATAATAATTCAAAAACGGATTACGAAAGGACACTGAAGTGTAGCAAATATCACTTCAAAATATCATTTATAAAAGAAGGAAAATATAATTTCAAAATGCAAGGAGGCAAAGAAATATCTGATTCAAGCCACCATTTAATAATACCATGAAAACTAGAGTAGGGCAACTATTTATTAATTTAATTGAAAAGTACTTCTCAAAAAGACACATACTAAATAAAATATTCAACAAGAACTCGGTCCAATTGAGTTACAGCTGCACTGAAAATGTGATGCAGTTAATAAAGAAACATAATTGCAAAATGAAAAAGAAGATGAGTATTAATGGCCACCCCGCCTCTTGTAACTGTAGGTGCAAATACGATTGTTCCATTGGGTGGGTACCTACAGAAAAGTGCAATATACAAAGTTACAGTAAAGTCAAGTAGTGAATATATGACCTATATAGTAGTGGGAAAATGTCTTTAGAAAGAAAGGTTTTATGGTTGTAAAACCTATTTCAATAACAGAATATGAAAACGGTACAGTGCTGTCCAAATACATATTGGATTAGAAGCATAAATCTGGCTAACCCTCTGTCACCAAGAGGAAGATTATAAGGATAGCACATGCTCAAAAAGCAACATCTTGTGAATTATGCTTGCAAAAAAAAAAAAAAAAAATCCAAATTATAACATTCCCTTAGCAAGAATATCTTCTCAATAAAAGATCAGAATTATTTAGTAAATGTAGGCATGTGAGCAAGTTTTTATCGAGTTAGATGACTGATTGACATCAGAGAGAGTAAAAAAACAAAATGTGAAAATTTTATTTAATTTGATGAATATTTAACCCTTTTTTTTTTTTTTTAGGTGGAGATAGTTGCTCTTCAGTTTATCATTCATGTGAGGAGGTATAGTAATAGTCACTGCTTACGTGTACAGCAGATATAGGCAAAAAGTGGAACTTAAATAATTTTAAGTGTCTGATGATTGGTTCTGTCACTGAAATTTAGATACACATGTGCTTGTCACATTTATAATAAGGTCCCAAAAAGATAAATGTTAAAAAGTCATGTCTATAAATAACCATAGAGCATGCCATAAGCATAAAGTCATATATTATAAGCATAAACACACACACACACACACACATGTATGTGTGTGTGTGTATATATATATATATATAATAAGCATAAGAAATATATATATATGTATGTGTGTGTATATATTATAAACATAAGAATATATATATGTGTGTGTATATATATTATAAGCATAAGAATATATGTGTGTGTGTATATTATAATATATATATATATATATATATATATATATATATATATATAATAAGCATAAACACACACACACATATATTATAAGCACACACACATATATATATATATATTACACACACACACACATATATATATATATATTATAAGCACACACACACACACATATATATATATATATTATAACACACACACACATATATATATATATATATATATATATATATATATATATATTATAAATATATTTTAAAATGATTTAAAATATTTTTCCACTACACAGTTCTAACCATGTTTCAAAAAATGGAAGCTAAAAGCCACGAATTTAATTTTGCAATTAAATTAAAGACATTAGTTCCATTTCATCCTCAAGCGAATTTTGGAGTAACTTTTAAAATTATAGTACTAAATTAAAAAAAGTTGACTTCCTGGATATAACATTAGATTTAAATAAAAATACATACACACCTTATAAAAAAAACCAACACCAATCCTTTGTATATACACCCTAAATCAAATCACCCCCCATCTATAATTAAACATATACCGTTATCTATCAGTAAACAAATTAGTATAAATTCAGCAAATGACAAGATTTTCGATGAGCATATCAATTCCTATAATAAGACTCTAAAAGAGAGTGGCTACAAAAACCCAAAACTTATATAAAAAATGAAAATGGAAAGCATAGAAAAAACAGATGTAGAAAAATTATTTGGTATACTCCCCCATACAACCAAATGGTAAAGAATACTTTCTTGAAAAATCTACATTACATCAATTCTATGAACTCTCAATCCAGTTAAAATATAAGTTAAGAATTCTGTCAAGTATATACACCAAACTAACTTAAGATATGCAGATGACACAGTGTTGATAGCCAACACAGAAAGGAAACTCTAAGAATGCCTACAGAAGGTAATGAAAGAAAGTATGAAGAAACAACTAAACTTCAATTTCAAAAAGACATAATGCATAGGAACAGCCCACCATGTAAATTACAAATTTCAGATATCAAAATCAAAGAAGTATAATAATTTAAATATCTGGGAAATGATTTAACAGAGGACGGAAAGTGCAACACTGAAATCTGAAGGCACATTAGGATAGCAAAAGATGCCTTCCAAAAGTTAAGCAAAGTATTAAGAAACAGAAAATGTTTGTTAGAATCAAAGAAAACAATACTGAACTGTTACGTAATACCAGTCCTCCTATATAGAAGTGAATGCTGGACAATCCCCTCAGAGATGAAGAAATGATTTGAAGCAACAGAAATGTGGTTCTACAGAAGGATCCTGAGAATACCATGGACCGAACATGACACAGTTCTAGAAAAAAATGGAAACAAAAAGTACACTTATACTTAACATCAGAAAGAGATAATTGAAATTTCTAGGCTCAGATAACGAGGAAAGTGGGCTTGGAAAATTACCCCTAACCTCAACACACCCTAGCTGTATATTTCACATTTGTAATCAATATAATTAAAGTTAAATGCAAGGTTTAACAAGTTTTAAGCACTCTTGAAAATGTTTTTTAATTTAATCATAATGTAAATTTGTCTGCACTGTCAACATACATAATTCATCTAGAAGAATAAACTTGATAAATGAAAGTTTTGTGTTGTAAATTATGGCAAGGGTGTATTGAGGTTGGAGAAAACACTTAAACAATAACTTTCCCAGCAACTATGGGAATAATAGGCAGAGAAAGGAAATGAAATGAGAGCTAACAAAATGACACTGCCTCAGAAGACACAGCAACTTTAGGAACAAAATGCTCATGGGACAAACTTCACAAGACACCAAGTCTTGACTACTGCTGGTTTTCTTGTTGCTTTTATTAACAGTCTTTGACAGAAACTCAGATAGAGATAACTTGCAGAGATGTTTGTATTTGAACATACCAAATTGTCCTAATGGGGGAAAACCTGGATGTAACTGGTTCTGACATGCGTGATCCAGAGCTTCTTTTGCATCTGTAGTAACATTCTTACATTTCATTCCCCACTAATTTCCTGATTATAGATACAACAGATTGGAGTGTGTCTCTTCTGTCAAGTGCTTCTCTGAAAGGGGGCTGGTTCGTGTTCCTCCACCTTAGCCCAAAGAATCAGTTTTTATGTGCAAATTTTTGCTTGCCACTGTAATAAGATTCAATTAGAGCTGAACACCATTCCTTGTCGATCAATATGTTAACTACAGGTGGCACTGCATTTACATCTGAGCAAGTAATGAGACTGGCACTGATGTCTGTTTCCCAGGCATTACCATGATATATGTCTCGCTTTGTCACAGCAATAAAATGTATGGCTTTATTTCCTTGCTGGATCCCACTTAGACCAGTTTGCCAACTCAAAGATCACAGACCAGTTCAGCAGTTTCAAACCATTCAATGATAGTGATATCTCAGTCTGACAGGAGATGCTGGCAGAAACCCAGATCAAGACAAGTTACAGAGATTCTTGTATCTAACCCCTGCCAATCTGTCCCACTGCTAAAGGGGAAAACCTGGATGTAACTGGTTTTGGTAGACCTGTCTGCATGCAATCCAGGGCCTCTTTTGTGTTTGTACTGATGTGTGTTTATCATATTTTGTTAAATTTTTGTAATTTGAAAATGGTTTAAATTAGTTTGACTGCTCAATACAAGACAAAACTTTAAAAAAAAATCATTTTTGGTATATTTCTTTCCCATTGAAAATTATTTTCATTCTTGGTATATTCCTTAAATGTCTATTGAAATGAAACTTTCTCATGCTTACAAATTTGTTTTCCTTTTATGAATGAATGGCAGACTAAGATTTATTATATTGTTAGTTGTAGCTTTTTCAAATTCAGCAAAATGTTTAGAATAAGAAATATGACAAATAAAAAAAAAAATCTCTGTTTTGTATCTATTCAATATAGATGATGTATAATTGTGATACTTTTGTTTTTCAAACCAAATTATGTATCCACAAATGTTGCTGTGAGTTAACTTTTTAATGAACATTTTACAAGTTGATTGCAATTATTGGTAAGACAAGACTGACTGGTGATAGTTTAATGAAATATATATGCCATCTTTATAAATTAGAAAGATTTTCAAATTTATATGTACATTTTAGAAATGTTACTTTCCACCAGAGACAATACTCCAAGTTTTAAATTTTATTTAGAATTAGCAAATAAATAATTTATAATTCTGTCAGCCAAATTTATAGTTTCTTCACTTTAATCCATTCTAAATGTCTACCCTCTCTTTTGTTTATCATCACACAATTTGACATTTTAGTAGCTTCACTTAGAAAAATCATGGGCAATATATTTCTCTGAGCTTGATAGGTGATCATTCAAATTAATTTTATTTAATTATTTATTTAATGAAATGTATAGAATATAACTGAACTAATGCAATATACTCTGATTAATGGTACAGAATCTTCAGGTTAATTTATCTATATTTTATAGTAGATGTTTTCAGAATAACTTTTCACCAATATTGCATTAACAGAAAATTATTTTCAAAATAGTGGAATGGTTAATTGCATAAACAATGTTTTTTTTTTTATTAGCTTTGAAGATTCTGATTTGTTTTCATTTTTATATTTTCCTATTTAAATGTTTAAAATTTGTTTTTCTTATCTTCTAGGTCCCAATTATTCCTGTAATATTCTCTTCATTTCAACAGTTTTACAACAAAAGTGATAAAAGATTAGAAACAGGTATTTATTAAATTTTCTCTGATTATTTATTTTTTAAAATCTATTTATTAATTTAAAATCATTGTATTAATGTGTTATATATAAAAGAATATTTAGAATTATATTATTATTTGAGGAAACTTAAGTTAGTGATTTGAACTATTTTCTTGATATCCCTAGCTGACTTACTAAGAAAGTTTTGTTGTGGGCCTTTGTAGTGCATTGACTTTATCTGAATGTTATTTTTTATATTTTTTTAGGGTTGAAAAGGGCATCACTTGATCACAACAGGTTTGTAGTATTATGAGCAAAATTATATGTGGTACAATGAAATTCAGAAACAGTTTGTGTTTATTTTAATCATTTTGCCCCAAGCAAAGCAGGAATGCCACTAGTACACAGGAAGTGGAAGAGAAGACTGAGTATAGGGAGGATTGAAGGAAGGACAAAAGTTGAAGGGGATTCAAGAAGACAGAAGATGGCAATTGACATTACATTTAAATTTTTGAAGATTGTAGTTATGGGACTTCCACAGGTGGGAAGTGTGAGAAAATAAACTTAAATTCATGTAGTAGGGACACCAAGTTAAAAAAAAAAAAAAGCTTATCAAAGCAGTAGCCATGAAAATATTTGTAGAAAAGACAGAGGAAAGCCATGTCATGTCAGTGAGAAAGTGACTGAAGTTGAGATGCCTGGTCAGGATCAATTACATTGCAGATCCTTCTTTGGATTTTATCAAGTATCTTGAGATGTGCAGCAGGAGTACCAGACCAGATATGGCAACAGTATTCAATGCATGGACGAATGGTAGATTTGTAAATGTGCAAGATGGATTCTGACACAACATAGTGACCAACTTTCGTTGTGGTAGATGCAGCTATTGATTTAATGTAGTCGCTCCACTTTGAGTCAGTGGAAAACACAAAGCCAAGAAAGCACAGTGTGTTGCTCTCCTGGAGTCTAGTCCCAACCATGCTGATGGCAGGCAGAAAAGGTTCTCTATTATGGTTAAATAAAAGCAGTTTTGTTTTGGAGGTATTAAAATTTACAAGCCATTTCCTATCCCAGTTAACCACTGATTGAAGTTCCTTTTCAAGAGGAGCTGCCAGGTTTACCAGATCTGACAGATTTGGTATTGAGACAGGAGTAAATAGTAGTGTCCATTGGGGAGATCATAAACAGCATAGGATAGAGCCTTGGGGGATGTCAACTTTCATGTGAAAAGAGCTGGAAGTGAGCCCATGCAAAATGACTTTCATTTCACAATTTGATAGGAATGATTGGATTAAATGATGCATTCATCTTGTGATACTGTAACCTTGGAGTTTATACAGAAGGCCAGTATGCCAAACTCTGTCAAATGCCTTCAAGATATCTATAACCTGAGCTCAAGCTTTGCCATTCTTATCTAGAGATTCAGATCCAAATTTAGTTAACACATCAGCTGTAGACCTGGTGAAATGGAAACCATATTGTTTATCCAAGAGGAGGTCATGAGAAGTAAGATTCTTAAACACTTCAGCATTGATTTGAGCCTCAAATACTTTGTGCCAAAAGCAGTAAGAGACTAATAGGGGTCAGAGGGTTTTCCAGAATTCTTAAAAACAGGAACTACAGAGGAGGACTTCCAATAAACTGAAAAGCAGGAAGCAGTGAGGCAATTTTTGTAGCATTTGGAGAAAACTGAAGCTAGCTCGGGAGAACATTTCTTTAGGATGATGGCTTTGGATCCTATCACATCCACTTACCTTGTGGGAGTCTAGTTTGAAAATGATGTCCGAAATCAGTGACAGGGTTATGTGCATATCACTCAGTAGATACTCTCTTCTCTTTGGGAATCAGGTATGCATACTCCAGATGAGTTGAGTGTGGACTTAAAAGAGAACTTCCAAGCAAAGCTTATTTGCTGTAAATGTCAGGACTTTAAATTGATTGAAGAGAGGTGAGATCGAGAATTTGCTGTTGTTCAGCACATCCTTGCAGAGCTGCCAATAATCTCTAGAACCGAACTTGTGAGTGGCTATAACATTGTTTCATTCTATCAGCAAACAGTAACTTCCTTTTTTTGAGGACACGCTTGCTCTCATTACAAGCAGAGATAGGTCTGTTGCTCTGGTACAGCTGGAAAAAGTGATTCCTGTGGGCTATAGCAGCTGACCATGCAGGTGAAAACCAAGGAGATGATCATGGCTTCACTTTGATGCTGGTTTTCATCAGGAGGAAACCTCAGAGGCACATTTTTGAACAGGAAGATTATAAACTTTATTCCAAAGGATGTTGCAAAAGAAGTCACAGAATGAAAAATGTTAAATTGATTTATTATATATTTCACCATGTCAACTAATACACAATAAGTAACATTGAAAGCAGAGATAATTTGTTATAATTCAGAAACATTTTTAAGTATTTAACTTTTCTTTACAATGATGAATTAAAGAAATAAATGTTTTGTTAGTAATTTCTTCTTTTTTTGTTTTAGTCTACATTCATTAAGAGTCTTTCTTTTATATCTTACTAATATATTTCAAAGAAATTGTATTATTCAAAGATCTTATATGTATATAATTTTTCTAAGCACAGAAATAAAGAATTGCTTGCTTATCTGTAACTGGCAACATATTTTATCAGATTGTTTTGAATGTCTGCTTAAGCAGTCAAAATCAAAGAAATTGAGTTTTGATATTTTTATTTCTTTTGGCAGTAAAATGCTTGTTCTAATGCATCATGGGAATATTTAATTTTATTTAACTTTTTTTATAATCTAACTTTTTTCTTCCTTTATTGTTTAACTACAAATCTTATATTTCAAACTATTTTTATTGCTTAACTTTATTTTTTCTTTTATTATTAATTATTTTAATTCCAGCCTACTATATAGTCTACTAATCAGAGTTGGGGATTATTTAGTAGTTTATTTGTTGCTATCGCTACAATTTCTATTTCTTTTTACTATTACCTTTACTACTTAAGGAACAAAATGATAAAATTTTCTTATTATTTACATCTCCTCAAAAAAATTACAGTAATTATAAGACTTTATTTTAAATAAATATTATTATACATACAGTTCTGCACAAAAACAAGTGAATCGCTAAGATAATGTTTTAAAAAACTTCTTTTTTTTAAAAAAAAATCTTAATTAAACTATATATTCATTAAGAAAAACTTAATTAAACAAATTACAATCACTTTCAAAATGTATTTGACTATATGTAAAATTACTAATTAAAATATAATCAGTGCTATATTTACTTTGTGTGCATTCATTTTAGAAGTTTCAAGACTGTCCTTTCAAATGTGGAAAGAAATTCATTATATGATAGTTCAAATAATTTATTTGCCACAATGACATTTTATTTTATAAATTTATAGATAAAATATTTATTGTATTTAATAAATGTTTTAATTTTTCTGCAGGCAAAGTGATCATTTCTATCTTGCCACCGATTTCTACAGAAAACCTCAAGTCAACTGATGTGACAGATTTGTGCAACAAAGTAAGAAATCAAATGGAAGAAGTTTATTATAAAACTTCATTGGAAATTTCACCATCTATGAACACCAATGGTCACTATACCCACTCTGAAAGGCGTTCTCCTTTATCATCCTCAGTGTCATCTATTGAAGGAAGTGGAGGGCTAACAATTCTTGAAAGGATTGAGGAAGAATCTCCTGAGGCCAGTGTAGAAACACTCAGTCCAGACATTAGTCCTACTGAAAGACAGAAAATTCTTGCAGATAAGATTGTTGAACAAACTGTAGCTGATGCCCAGGAAACTATTAGAGACATGATTAACAAAAATAAAACAAATAGTGCTGAAGAGTTGGCCCAAGAAATTGTAGACAAGACAGTGCGTGAGGCTCAAGAATTCATTATAGAAAGCTCACATGCAGAATGTCTTTCAGGAAAAGATGACAGTGGTTGACAAATCAGCAGGTCAGTATATGATTAAACATATTCCACATATAGCTGTTACATTCACTAAGCCTTATTATATTTCTGCTTTGAGCTACTTATCTATGAAATTGTTTTTTTTGTTTCCTTTTAATACAATATGAAATAGTCTTTATTACTTTGTAGTTAGTGTGTACATCAAGGGTGGCTAAATGATATCTATTTGATTTGGTTTTCATTTTGCTGATAAACAAATAGCATTTTAGTTTTTAAGTTTTCTCATAATTTTATTTAATTTTTTAGATTTGTAAATGTAAAATGAAAATTATGTGTGGTAAAAAAAATTGTATGTAAATTTTTTTAAAATCAGAAACTAATTTAAAATATTATTTACTTTTCAGCTTGATAAATTGTGATCAGGACAATTGATTCCTGATCTCGAAGCATTTCAACTTTTAGGGCTGCATTTCTTCAATTTGGTTGCTGTTAACAACCAAAATACAGAATTTAGGCTGTCCTTCTAGACAAGTTCTTTTTTCTCTCCCATTGTCAATCCACAAATGACATCCCACAGCTCTCCTTATTTTCACTTCTCACATGTTTTTGTGCACTTCCCAGGAGACAAGGTGCTATCATTGAACATATAACACAATATTTTACCAGAAAGGACCAACCAAAGATTCTATACTGGCGGATTTCGAAAAATTTCCAAATGACATTAACATTATTGCTTGCTTGTGATTTCATTGCAAGTTTACAACTCTCTCCTGTTTTGTTTTTTTTGTGTTTTTTTTTGTTTTTTTTTTATATATAATTTTTGTTCTTCCATGCTTGTTTTGTGTATGCCACAAGGACCAATAAATATCAGATGGCCTACTTGTGTGTATTTTGTGTGTGCACATATATATATATATATATATATATATATATATATATATATATACACATACACACACACACACACACACACACACACACACACACATAGTTCAAGTTTAACATTAGAATAATATTATCTTAATTTTGGAAAAAAATGCTATCAAAACATCATGAGCATGAAATAAATCATCATCTAATTGGTTTCTTGTATCTGAGTGTTTTCTCATGGCTGACAGGCTCCATTTTGTATTCTCATCTCAATAAAAATTATCTTCACTGTAAAATATACTGTAAAACAATTATTTATAAACTTTTGTGATGTTTGTTTTCAGATCTCCCAAATGTTGTTAGACAAGAACAAATAACAAAATAGGCAACCAAGAAGAAATATAAGGATTTATATTTTCTTAAGAGTTGCATCAGAGTACTTCACAAACAAGAATCAAATGACTAAAAGTAAGGAAGTCTCAAAGTGTAATAATATTTTCTCAATATATTGCAAGCAAATTATTTTGCTTGTTTAATGACTGGATAATTTAAAATAAATGCAATTTTCAAAATTAAACATCTTTTAACATTTTTATACAATACTTGAATAGATTTATTTTAAACTATGTGGTTCATTATGTATTTGCCAGTCTTTTATAGAATGGAATTGATTTTCATTTAAAAATATTCTCCCATTATTTTTTTTAAATAGCAGAATGCATTATGTTGATATTTTTTTTTTTTTAAGCAAATTTTATTTTATATAACTTACAGAAAGTTTTATTCTAATTTTATAATGAATTTTCTTACATAAGACTTTACTTCTTATGCACAAGGATCATCAACCTAAAACAAGTTTTATTTTTGTGAAGTATAAATATTTCAAATCTATCCTTTTTTCAATGTATGCTATTTTACTGACAAAATATCAATTATGTAACAAATGTTTTTGTTTCTTTCAAATCTGAATTTTAATCTTTCAGCAATATTTACATTGTCTAAGTTTGTTAAAGCTTTTTTCATTTTTGAATGTTCAGTTTTTACAAAAATCTGGCACCAGCAAAATTTTAACAATTAACCACAAAAGACAAAATTTTTATCTTTTGTGAGCTTACAATTCAATTGTTGCTAAAAATATTCTGTTTTTCATCTCTGAAATAATTGAGTCCTTAAAGTTCCTTGTGGAGCAAAAAACATTGCAATTTGCTTTATATGTTCATTGATTATATTGTAGATTTATTTATTAAGTGTGAATGGATATAGATTTTTCTTTTTTTTAAACTGTTAGTTGCCATACTTTATAAAATTGTATAATAAAAAGAATTGGTGATTGATTTTAAAATGTAAACAGATCTGATACACATTAGCTAAAGTTTATTTTGGTTGTTTTATTTTTAACATTTCCTTTATTAGATTAGAATTAAGTTTTTTTTTTCCCTTTTAATTGAGAATTTTTCCTTGATCATTGTTTTAAATTTTCTTTCTTGTGGAAAGGAGAGGGGAAACAAAATGATGTTACACAAAGAGATTCACCTTAATATGGAGTTAATTTCAATTTGTAAATGCAGATAGTGCCTTTTAATGCAACAAAGACTTCCTTTTTAGAACCAGACTCCATTTTCCTTGATCAAACTTGAAAAGAGACATTGCTAACTATTGATGTGCTTTTCTAAATATCATATTAAGTTAGAATAGATTTTATTGTTTTGCTGTATAAAGTTTAAAGTAAATAATTTACATACTTAATCCCATCTCCTTATTTAATCCATGTAGAGGAGCTTAAAAGGTGTATTTTTATCAATGATAATTTCTTTGAATGTGTGTGATTGAATTTAATAATTATTTACTTATTAAAATATTTTCACTTTCTAAATTATATTCCTTAACAAAATATTTCTCCTGTGAAGCAGAAATTGAGTCATATTTTATTTTTCAGAAATAAGAATATAAATTTATACTTTGGTGTGTTGGCTTATCTGGTAAAGGCAATTCTTTGACTGTCAATGTTGATCTGACATGAATTAATCCAGAAGTAGGAATTTGGAATCTGATTTCATTTGTCACATTCAGCTATTGAATGGACATTTCTAAAATCTACAATGCTCAAGCAGCTGATTTTAAAAACGTGTAAAAAACGGTTTTTATCTTAAAAAAAAAAATCTAATACAGATGTTTTCTAAATATCATTCCATTTCAGTTAATAAGATAAATACTATATATCACGAAAATGGAGGTTTAAAAGTTTACCTGTTCTTCACTATTGTGTCATACTGTGTGCAAAATCAGTTTTTATGCACAATGTCAAATCATAATTTTTGAAACAATTATATTTCTCAATGTAGGTAGGGACAACTTAGGAAAACATCTTGCACTAAATTTTAAATATTCTCACTTTACACTTTCCTTAAACAAGAAACAAAGACTAAGATTAATTATATTAAGAAGCATTATGCAAATATAAAGTTGTTTTCATTATTGTTTAGCTTTTAAACAACTGGTCAAGATGAAAATTTGTACAGACTTAAAATAATTTGACATTTTATTATATTCAGTGACTTTTTAAAAGATTTTTTTTGTGTGCAAAGAGACTTAACATTAGATAAGCAATGTAGATAGTTTTCCTATTCATAAATGCTTTGAATTTATTTCCTTCTCTGCACTCAAGTGTATTATTTGATGGATATGGAGGCCACTTGTTGCAATAAACACCAGTTTTCTTTTTAGCATCAATTTTATCTTTGTTCTATCATACAATTAAAGATGAATCTTAATGAGGCTGTTTATCTGCAATCTGTTTATCAAAACACACTGTTCTTTTATGTAAATTGATTAGTTGTGGACTTTTAAAATATTTACAATTTTTTTTTTCCTGGGTTAGAATTTCTTGAAAGATAGAAATCTGAATAAAAACACTTTTAAGCCATTTTGACAATTTGTAACAAAAAAGTGGCATCTAATTTTGTAAATATAACATCAGTCAGGCTTAAGATGAGCATTCAAAGATGATTAAAAATATTACAAATTTCTTTCAGAATATATATATATATATATATATATGATTCAGTATTGAAAATAATAAAAAAAAGTCTTGTGAATTTTTAAATTAATTTTTAACAGTGGTATCTAGATGTGACCTGACTTTGCATTGAACAATGTTTTGAAACTTAACTACAGCAAAATCATTTAAATTTATCTTTTTAAAATCTTTTCATGTTTTTCAAATAATTTGTAAAAGGACACAAGATTTTTGTAGAGAAGAAATTGTTTTGCCAATTTAGTTTATACACATTAATAATTATATTTTGGTAAAAATATTTATAAAAATGTGAAGTACTCCATCATTTCGTTTGACTAGAGAAAGTTTTTTTAAAAAATAAAAACATATTTTGCCTTATTTCACTTTCGTTCAAATTAGGGGGGGAAAAAGTCTTCTCTCCCCCCCTAATCTATATGAAGAAGTTAAAATTTAACTTGCCTTTGAGTATTCATATTAATATAATTTTAGCAGAGTTGAAATCCATATATCAGTTGTTACAATTTAGTCATTTGGAAGATTTTGTAATTTCTGCTTTTTTAGCATGGAATTTTGTCATTATTTAATGTATGGAAAACACTCAAAATTCATATGTTGAACAATTGCATCTCAAACCTTTGTTTTACTTTCATGCAAATATTATGAGTATAAACTTGTCTTTATTAACACTGGCTTGAGTTTAACCAGCATAACACTTTTCTTTCTTGAATGTTTCTTTGAATAAATTATATTGAAATGTTAACAGTTTGTGATTTAAGAAAATTCAAAATTTACTTCTACAACTTATCTAATAATTTTCATTTTTTTTCTATTATTACAAAAAAATTATTTTTACAAGAAAAAATAAAAATAGAAATCTAAACTGCTTGTGACTTAATTTTGAAAAACAATATTGAAATTTGTTGATCTTGATTGACAGGTATTTTGTAAAGATTTGTTCCAGATCAGCCCGCACTAATTTTTAGTGTGATTGTGTATACACAAATCAAGCTTTCCAGAAGGAAATGCCATTTTTTTTTTTTTTCCCCCCCCAAATGTATTTTATTTTTTTCACACTTAACATTTTGTTAACCTTATGATGTCAGGACAGATAACTGAAAAAAAAGTCAATGCATCAAATAAAATTGTCTGTCTACTCTGTTCTACTTGTCTTGCAGTGTCATTTTTTTCTTGTTTATATTCAGCTTATTAGAACCACAAAATTTCAGGAAATCTGTGTGATTTGCATGGACTTGAGAAATTCAGAAGACTTTTTAGTCTATTTTTACTTCTTTCTGATAATATATGTGAATAACCTTTCTTCCAATATGCTGCATTTAAAGTTGGTTCCCACAAGTTAAGAAAAGTAATCAGTGGGGTAAAATGATGTATGGTATTATGTTGATTATTATTAGATATAATTTATCTCAAGAACTAGGCAAGATAAAATATATAGTAATTTTCTTTATTTTACTTATGAATTTAACAAACAAAATTTAATAACCACATCTTTACTATTTCCTGAT